AATCTTTTTGTAGGGTTATCAACCTCCATATGTTTTGAAACTAGAAAGTGTTCATTCAACTATAGAAAACTAATTTCAACGATCCAACCGTTAAACGTGTTTGTATATACTGTGAGATTGTATACCCCAAAAATCGCAAATAACAAATATTCAGAGATCTAGAAATTGGACAAAATATTCAAATGGTATAAATGAACACGTTTGCGCGACAACTATTTGCGCGACGATGATATATTCGTCGCACAATGATGTTTAGCGCGACAACAAAATAATACGTCGCGCATAATAAATAGCGGGAAACAAACAGTGTTCCATATTTGTGCGACGAAAAGTTTAGTCGCGCTAAGGTATAATGCGCGACAAAAAAAAATTTCGTCATCGCGCAAACAAACAGCGGGAAAAAAACCGCGGGTTTATCGCTTTGGCGCCAAATGATTGCGCAACGAACTTTGCGCGACGATATATTCGTCGCGCAAATTCATTGTATTCTTGCGCGACGACGATTGGTATTCGAGCGACGGATATATGTGCGACGGTTAAAGTTTAATACGTCGCACAAAAATGGATGTCGGCACCACCATGCGCGCCGGGGAAAAAATTTTGCGGGACGGCAAATACGTTTGCGCGTCGAACAATATGCGACGAATTTATTCAATTTGTCGCGCAAGGGCTTACTATTTTGCGTGACGAAATACTCAATCCGTCGCGCAAAAACGTCGTTTATTACTTATTCAGTTTCTGCCATGGCAGAGGCAAACTGCACAAAATCCAGCAGCTTGCCTCAGCCTCTCTCTCCCTCTGTCTCGAACTTAATAGGCCAAGCAAACGCATCAATCTCATTTCGTTTATGAGTTAAACTATCTCTGCCTCCGGTAAGTTCATTGATTATGTATTTTTTGTCGTTAGTGTAAAAATATTACTGTAAATTCATACTAACGCCATTAATTTCGTTGTATATAGGGATATTATATGTGATTAGCGATTGGTGGAGAACGATTGCGAAGGTATTATATAAAATTAATTACATTATGTTTAGATTGTGTTGTCAAATTATATTTATATTATGTTGTTCAGTTATGCACGTTGATGTACGAAGTTAATTGAAATTAACTTCATACATTTTTTTTTTGTAAAGCTTAGTTCCCGTTCGAGGTTAGTTGGACCGCACATGGGTGGGTAAACCACGACTACGGTCCAATTAATTCTTGAATTGTCCCATACTTTGGACAGTTTGGAAATGCATAGTCGTGTCACGTAGTTTACAGCTACAGGATTAGGTTTCGATTGTGGAGATTTCGGTGTCATCTCGGTACGTTCTTCGGGTGGTACGTAGGTATTTTATATCTACGGTACGCCTCAAGAACTGTACCGAGATGCTGCCGAAATTCATCCACGTCGAAATCTAATCTCATGTAGTTGTAAATTACGTGACATGACTATGCATTTCCGAATGGGATAGGGCCCTTACCGGAGGCATAAGGTGACGTTATGATTTTGTAAGAATACAACATGATTGTTGTATTGTGATTGTGGTTCCAGGAATTATGAGCAGAAGGTGGATACAGAACCCTAACAGGTGCGCAGACGAATACTTGGATGGAATCGAGGACTTTATTCAC